TGGGTTCTTTTTAAAGACAGCCAGCTGAAGACCTCCATAGTGATGTTTTATTGGGAAACATTACATAGGTTTGAAAACTTCATTTTTAAAAGGCCTTCCACAAAATAGTGTATTTCTTCAAAGGCACTCTTCAAGTTGGATGCTGTGGAAACATTGCAGAATGGCAGACAGGATTCAAAGTGAACACGTGCAAAGTCTTCCATATAAGGATAAAAAATCCCTAACTCTGAGAATACAGTGATGGAATCTAAATGAGCTGTCACTACTGAAAGCGAGGACTCGGGGTCATAGTAGAAAGCATGCTGACGTCAGCTCAGTGTGCAACTTTGGTGAAAAAAAAGCAGGTATAATATTGGGAATTACTATGAAAGGGACTGAAAATGAAACCGCGAGTGTGCTATTATATGTCTCTGCTGTGCCTGTGCTGTCACTGTTGTATGCAATTCTAGTGGACTGATTTTTAAAAAGATTGTAGAAGAAGAGACAATGCAGAAATGGGTTCTTGAAATGTTTGGGATAGTGTTGCTTCCTTTGAAGAGAAGCTTAGGGTTCACATTTAGTTAGATAATGTATATAATTATGAAAGGTATTAAGGCCAATGCAGAGGATAGAGAACATTTCTCTTTCTAGAATATGAAGTCATCTATTTGCTAGGCAGTACCTGCAGAACAATTAAAAGTAGGTATTGTTTTGTGTGGTGCATGGTCAGCTTAAATTCATTGGCACAAGGAAGTTTATAGACAGCCTATGGAAGACCTCTTCTGTGTGGTCACACCGGGCAGCGTCAGCAGGCAGACACCTTTGCAACGCTGGAGAAAATCTGAATGTGGTTGATGAGACCTGGGCTAATTTTATTCTACTCCAACTACATTTTACCTACAGTTTCACTAGGAAGAGAAAATGATGCATACATGTGTTCACACAGTGAAAAGCACATGTATGACGCTTAATCTCTCATCTCTTTTTCTTTGTTTTTGTAAGTGATGTACATACATGTAAGGCCACGTCTGAATGTTTTATGTTCTATAACTTGAAAACTTTCCTCACGCAATGGCATTATCTTCCTAATGAAATGAGGGCACATAACTTCATAATGGGGGGCTCGTTTGTGGTGAGGAATAACCTTCCAGTCTCTCAGCCACAGTCTGGCAATTAGAATAATAGAAACACTGAGTTGGAAGAGACTTTGTGGGCCATCCAGTCCAACCCCCTGCCAAGAAACAGGAAAATCGCATTCAAAGCACCCCCGACAGATGGCCATCCAACCTCTGCTTAAAAGTCTCCAAAGAAGGAGCCTCCACCACATTCCGGGGCAGAGAGTTCCACTGCTGAACAGCTCTCTCTCATAGTCAGGAAGTTCTTCCTAATGTTCAGGTGAAATCTCCTTTCCTGTAGTTTTTCTGAAGGCTAAACATGCCCAGCTCTTTAAGCTCTTCCTCATTGGGCTTGTTCTCCAGACCCTCGATCATTTTAGTCGCCCTCCCTCTGGATACATTCCAGCTTGTCGACATCCCCCTTCAATTGTGGTGCCCAGAATTGGACACAGTATTTCACATATGGTCTGACCAAGGCAGAATAGAGGGGTAGCATGACTTCCCTGGATCTAGACCAGTGCTTCTCAACCTTGGGTCCCCAGATGTTTTTGGTCTACAACTCCCAGAAATCCCAGCCAGTTTACCAGCTGTTAGGATTTCTGGGAATTGTAGGCCAAAAACATCTGGGGACCCCAGGTTGAGAACCACTGATCTAGACACTATACTCCTATTTCTGCAGGCTAAAATCCCATTGGCTGTTTTTGCTACCACATGACATTGTTGGCTTATGTTTAACTTGTTGTCCACGAGGACTCCCAAGATCTTTTTCACACGTACTGAATAGAGTGGCAAGAAATAAATAGAATGTGAATCAAGTGGCAGGAAAGAATGCAGTCTTGTGTCCATCCCTGGTCTAGACCCCAGGAGACCTAATGGTTAGGGTTCAGGCAGAGGTTCTTGGGTGTAAGCTGGGAGTCAGATCAGACTCAGTCTGGCCTAAAGGCTTGGGATGTTTCTCCATCATCTGAGGCACTTCATGGCTTATGTAAGAGGTTAGTATTTGGGAGATGGAGGAGTGGGGGAAAGAAAATGTTAATCTTTTTTGGAGGCCCATCTGAAGCCTCGGTAGCTTTAGGAAGGGAAGAGGGGCTGTCCAGTTTCCCTTTTGTGGCAGCAGAAAATCTGCTTCTGGGCTGGGAGGAGGCTGCGATTTGTGGGGGAAGGTGTAAGCTGTAAGTAATATGGATAAAGCAGGAGACAAAGAGAAAGTAGGTCAGACAGGCTGAGCTGCAGCTCCACGTCTGCTGTGTGCATGTCTCGGGGAAATCCAGCAGATCAGTGCTGCAGTGTGAAGAAACTGGGTGGAGGACTGCTCTGAGAATGTCCCTTCTTGAGACAACTGTCCTAAAAGGAGCAGGAGGAGATGATGGCAGTAGCAGCAGCTTGATGGCTCTGAGCTGATGCCCCAAAAAGAACTTGTTCTGGTTACTCCTCCATTTTCTGCCTTTCCAATTTCATGCTGTAGGGAAAGGACAGAAGCGTTTTCACCAATCTCAGAGGCTCCATTCTTAGTGAGCTGAGGAGAATGCATGACTTGGGAAAGGGGTGGGGATCTGTGAGCCAGAGGACCCCTGCAGCCAACTTCTCAATAGAGTTGCTAGTGCTGACCCATTTAGCATAGCTAAGACTTACAGGTTTGGCCAGTTCTGTGCTTGTTCTCTTCAAATAAAAACGTGATGCTTATAGCCTTAATGAGTTACCACAGAGATGTTGGGGACTTTATCAATAATTACTGAATCAAGCTGAGAAACCCCTTTATAAGTTGGGGAGGGAATATGTGACATGGAAGTCCTCAGAACCCAACATGGGATATTAATTTCAGACTGAAGATATTTCTTTGCCTAGTTTTATGCTGTAGTAGTTACTGAGGTGTCATCAGCATGGCTCTATTACTTAGACAGTGGGAAAGAAGAATATGAAGCCTGATCTCTTCAGCTTTGTATATCTAGCTGGTGTGGAGCCTTGACTTCTAAAGCCTATCCCTGGAGTATTTCCAAAAACATTTTCTCCATAAATATTTTTTGTTCATTTCATTTTCAACCCCAAAACTGGTTTGATGTTTTTGAAAATAATTGGTACTCAAATTGGACTATACTAACAGTTTTTTTAAAAAAAGAAATCTACTAAGTGCATTTAATTAACTGCTCAGATGGGACGCTGTTCAGTTCAGAATCTGCATAAAAGGTTGGGATACTCTACTGTTCATGGCACTGTTAGGCATTAGCTCAGTGGAAAGTGAGGATTGCATTCATAGCATACTGATCTCTCTGTCTGAAGCTTCTGAAACATTCCACGAGCTTTACTGTTTATTGTCGCTTATATTTCCAAGGACCACTCCACTATCATTAATATCATAACTGGAAATAGCTCTTAGGCAATCATGTCAATTTGGATATTCTTGTATGTAGTGCCTTGAAACTCAATACCAATTGAGGATTAACTTTGTTTAATAATTATGTTCACCTTCCAGAATTGTCTTCATAAATATACCTGGTGCCATCATGCTCTTATAGCTTAAGAAAGCTGTACTGTAACACATATAGCATGTGTGTATGGGTTTATGTCTGGAGAGATATGTCTGCCTGCCTTAGAAAATGCCAAGCACACTAGGCAGTTGCTGTTAAACTTTGATACTAGGATTCTCTTGTTTGTAGGGGCTAAGCTGGCCTGAGCACTATCCTTGAGGATATCATAATGGTCTGGATGTGATATACCAGTCCTCCACAAACAACATTTCCATAAGTCTTCTATTCCCAGCACATTTGGAGGGCTGAGAAAAAATAGGTTGTGCAGTGACTGACCCGCTGTGCTAAAGAGGCCACACCAGTTCTTGCAGCCCAGTGAGTGGGCTGGTTTTGCAATCAGAGTGAAGTCCAAACCATCACCAACCAACCTTGGGACCCCTTCCAGTGTTGCCCTGGTTGGAAGGGAGCTAGTTTTTCCACAGCTGTTCACTCATGGCTTCCAGAGCCCCTACCCTTTAGAGTCACAGCATGCTAGAGTGTTGGCTGAGCCCCAGAAGACTTGGTCCATGCCCAGAGTTTTCCTCTGAGCTTCACTCTTGGAAGATGACCTGCCATTGCCTGTTCCAAAAATAAGTTTGGAGCTTTGGCATGTCAAGTTTTCTGTGAGGGGAATTGCTGCCAGGGCATACATCTTCCAGTCTTAAAAGCTCAGTTCCTGAAGTATATTTTGATTTTTGCATGGAGAGTACCTGCTGAGAAGGTCATCCTGGTGAAAATTATGTTTGCACAAACAACATGCATCAGGATTTAGATCTGGTCTTGCTGTTTTCAGTGGGATCTGTCTTCTTAAAAGTCTTAAACTTGGATTTAAGGAGAAAGGAATGGGATTTCTGATTCTTCTCCCAAAGATTTAACAGTTGTCTCTTCTCAGTGAAATAACTGTGATCCTGGTGTGGACTGAAGTTCCCTGTGGTGTGTAATAATTATGCATCTCCCCCAAATGAACAACATGTTGGTAGATCTAAAGTCAGGCGATCAAAGATTTCAATCAGGGTTGACCAACTTCTTTATTCCAGGATAGGTTTGGACCTCCACTTGTCACATAGATTTCCTGAGTAAATTTCTATTGGGTGCACAACCACAGGTCAGCAATTGCTCTATCCAGTTCTAAAATATAATGGCCAAACTAAAAAAGGGACTTCCATGTCTGTTCTCTTCTCTCCAGGAATCTGTACTTGCTGGAAAGTATTACCCTCTGACTTCCTTGTTTGCAAACCACTTTCTCCAAGATGCCACTCATAGAAATGAGAAATGGCCAGATATAAGGGATGCTTGCTTCCTAGACAAGCCTTTCTGATTCCCCAGAAGTTTTCAGTAGCTTGGTCATTCAAATGTCCTTCTCTCCTCCTAATGTCATTTCCCTGTCTCTGCTTCCTTGCAGTGAAAGAGTTTCTTGCCAAAGCCAAAGAAGATTTCCTCAAGAAATGGGAGAGCCCAGCACAGGTATGGTGGTAATGTGTGCCCTCTTTTCCTTGACCTTGGGCATCGTGGGTTGGGCTTACTACTATTGTTCTAAACACTTTAGGCAAACTTTGAAGGTGACACTAGGGTAGTAAGACAAAAAACCGCTGATGTTGTTAAATTGTCTAGCCAGTAGAGCCAGTGGTGAGGAATCCTGGGAGTTGCAGTTCAGCAATATCTAAAAGGCTTCACTGTTTCCACCCCTGGTGTCAGGTTCTCCACATTGTGTTTATATCATCCTAACAGATCTATGGCCTAAACTAGTACAACTAAAAGCAGAGGTTCGTGGACTCATGCCAGTCTGCAAGCTATTAGGTGCCACACACACACACACACACACACACACAGTATATTACCAAGAAACAGTGCAAATGTGACACAAATACAGTACTTGGTCACAGGCACACTGGAAAAATAATTGTAGATCTGTCCACATCAGTTAGCTTCGGAAGAACTGGCATCAATGCTTGTTACATATTCAGCACATATAGGGATCAGAGCCCATTAAATTATATGTGATGTTGCATTGTCAGGGATATATTATTATACTTTTGCTTTTTAGAAACATGAACAATTTCACTTTCATGAATGTCTGATAAGTATAGTTTCCAAATGTTCATTTACTGCTAGCAGAGGCGGCCTTAGGTAATTTTCAACGGTAAGCAAACAGTATTCCCGCCCCCACCAACCAATCACTGATATATATTTCTGTTCGTCGTGGGAGTTCTGTGTGCCATATTTGGTTCAATTCCATCATTGGTGGAGTTCAGAATGCTCTTTGATTGTAGGTGAACTATACATCCCAGTAACTACAACTCGCATATGTCAAGGTCTATTTTCCCCCAAGAGCGCCTCAAGAGTGCTCCTGGGCAAAATCAACTATACTGCAAATGCTTACTTTGCGTAATGGGTTGAGCCGCCCCTGACTGCTAGTAAAATTGAAGAGTTAGCATTCCCCATACTAAGTTGTCGTGTCAAGGAAAACGGCGGTCTGAGAGACATGTTGCCCACTATACCAGATCAGAAGTGGGCAGCTACCTGTGGTCTGAAGGCCACACACATGCTCTGGCCAGATCACAAAGAGTTCCCCCATTGCACACCTTTCCCCTCATATATTTAATAGTGTTTTTTTACTTTACAAAAAGCTCAAAGTGCCTCTTGCATGTCCTGTGGGAAGCAGTTTTGGCATCCTTCCCTGTGTGTTTTGGGCCCAGGAGATGCCTAAAGTCACTTATGATTTACTTTGTAATCATAAGAGGTTGAATTGAGAAAAAATGCCAGAATTTCCACCTCTGTATCTAGAAAATGAAGTTGGGCATTTTGAGTTTCTAAAAAACTTTTTCTCTCCCCCCTCTCTCAAATAGATAGATAGATAAAGAGATAGATAAATATGTCTTGTCCTTGAAAAGCTAAGAAAAGCCTGTGTGACTTCATGTGGCCCAATAGGCTCTACTGTCCTTTGTGGATTTGAGGATAGATTGTAGTTAGAGGTGCAAGATAGAAGTTAGTGGTATGATTTTAATATGGGATACACTAATTTGGACTAGGTTATTTTGCTTTGATTTAGCTTTGAGATGACTTGGAACATTCTGTGGTTTTAGAGCTATTTTAAAAGGGGCTTTTAAAGTTTGGTTTTAATTATTCTTAGTCACCTATTTAATATTGCATATGTTTTAACCATTGTGTATCACCTTGGGGGCTCTGATGGAATCAGAGGTGATAAACAAAAGCTTTAAATAAATAAAAAGATTCTGCCAAGATTCACCAGGGTCCAAAATCATTTTCTAGCCAAAGAGTACATAATAAAACTTTGTCCAAATAACTCAACCTAAAGAATCATGTGACATCTGGGAATCAAATTCCATTAACTGTTGGTTGCCAAAAGTCATCCCATAATTTAATGCTTTTAACTGTTAGTCAATTTACATGGCAACTGTTTGAGGTGTATCATAATTTGTTTACTTAAAGTGTTACTTTAATAATTTTTGTTCTTTTGAGTTTAGTGATTATAAGTTTTATATTGTGATACTTATTATTTTTTATTTTATATTCTGTTTATATATTATCAGCATTGAATGTTTCCCTTTTTTACTGGAAATCGCCTCAGTCTCCTTGGGGAGATAGGGCGGGGTACAAATAAACTATTATTATTATTATTATTGTTATTATTATTATTATTAATATCCCTGTGGTTTTCAAACTAGAGGGGGGCCTCAGTGGGGTGGTAGTTGTTCAAAGCAGGATGCAAGAAATATTTCAGACATGATTGCATTTGAATCTCAACTCTCATGGAGGTGCAAGACCTCCATGAAAGTGCAAAAAAAGTAAATTTCTCTAGGGCCTGACCACATATGTGTTCCCTCCTTTCCTCACTTATTCAGGTGGATGGAAGCAGGGAAGGGGATGGGACAATGGGGCAAAGTAAGAAGTCAAGGAAGCTGGTAGGGAAGGCAGGAGCAGCAAGAGAAGGTGGAAGGAGAAAAGAGCCAGTCATGTGCATGGGAGCCAGGCTCAAACCCTTTCCTCTTCCTCCTTTTAACGTTTCCACGCTCTTCTTTCCATTCTGCCAGGCCTGGTGTCTGGTTCTGCTGCCATTTTCACACACGCAGTGGGAAATCCTTCTATTCCCCCTCCTTCTGCAACCATCCTGAGGCTGGGTTGCAAGGCGCAAAAGCATGCCTTTCATTCCAGCCTCCTTGGCTCCTTTATTTATGTGCTATATGTTGTGGGGGGCACAACATCTGCATATAGATGTAAGAGGGGTCACAATGGGAAAAAGTGTGTGAACCATCTTTTCTATTCCTATATGTTAGCAGACCGTATTCAGATAATAGGCACTATACCAGGCGTCCTCAAACTGCGGACCACCAGCTCTTTGGGCCTTCAATTCCCAGAATTCCTGACAATTGAACAAGCTTGTTAGGGAGGCCCAAACAACTAGAGGGCCGCAGTTTGAGGATGTCTGCACTATACACTTCCCACCACACCAACACAGGCACAATATTTGATGAGTCCCTGACTAATGCACTAATATAGTGGTTCTCAACCTGTGGGTCCCCAGATGTTTAGGCCTTCAACTCCCCAAAATCCTAACAGCTGGTAAACTGGCCTGGGAGTTGTAGACCAAAACATCTGGGGACCTACAGATTGAGAACCACTGCACTAATACCTCCTATACTTTAGATTTCTGGAAAATCATTCTTACAATGCAGCTTCATAGCAGTAGAATGGCTCTTTGAGTTGGCCTTAAAAGCTGGGTGTTTCTGTTGTTTGTCTTGCCCCTTCTGCTGCTCATGTAAGATATTGTATTTACACATGCTGTTACATAGACTTGTGCTTTTAAAATTAGAATTATTTGGTATGATTTTACTCTTTTGTCTTGCTCTCTAATGCAACACACTTTCTGTCGTTTCGGTTTATTAAGAGTGTGTTGAATGTTTGTGGCTGTATGTCAACAATGAGGGAATTGTAATCCTCCAGATGTTAGTCTGAAATCTCCTCTAGACATGCTGGCCAGGGTTGATAGGAGTTGCAGTGCAACACATGCTTTATGCTCACAATTATGCAACCATTCAGTTGGAAGGAGCCATCAGGTCCAACCCCTTTCTCAGTGTTGTCTATGCTGTACATACCCACTCTTTGTGAATTAAGGTTGTGCCTTTTGCTGGCTCCTAGAAGGCTGTGTTTTTCTCTTTCAAAACTGTTGTCTTTTGCTCCCTCTGGTGGTAAATTCTTAACTGTGATTCCTAACTCCAAGCATGCTCTTGGTGACAGCTTCAAGATTGGCACGCCACAGAAAGGTTCCTCTTCTGGAACAATGGTTATTCTTCCATGGCAGGAGTGCCCATGACAGTGCTTGAAGGGGGTCATCTTTCAGGTGAAATAAGCATCTTGAGTCCTTGTGGCCACTGAAAGATTCCTGAAATGTTGATGTCTATAGAGCTTGGAACCCAAAGCAGATTTCTTCCTCTGCTTCCTTTCTCTCTCTGTTTTTCAGAACACATCCAGCCTGGATCATTTCGACCGGCTCAAGACCCTGGGTACAGGCTCCTTTGGGCGAGTGATGCTCGTGAAGCACAAGGATACAGGGAATTACTTTGCCATGAAAATCCTTGACAAGCAGAAAGTGAGTCTTAGCTTGCCAGTGAGCACAGAATGAGGGTGCCAAGGGTTGAGAATCAAGGACTTTGTTGACACCCTTCCTGTCTTCCAGGTTGTGAAGCTGAAGCAAATTGAGCACACCCTCAATGAAAAGCGCATACTCCAGGCTGTGAACTTCCCATTCCTTGTCAGGCTAGAGTATTCCTTCAAGGTAAGCGATGCTAAGCAGGTCTCTGTCTCTCTCCTTTTATCATTTTTTTCGTTTTCTCCGGCCCACTGGATTCCTGGTCCTCTGAAGGGACTAAAGATACTGTGGTGCCTTGTACAATATATATGCGGACCCAGAGTGTCAGATAGGAGTCACTGTGTAGTTGAACAAAGGGTGGTGCCTCCACATTGTCTTGTCAACCTATTTTGTGATGGGGAGGGGAGTTTTAACCACCACCGTTTCTACAAGCACGCCCCTCCTCTCATTTTTCATGCCATATTGCATACTTGAGGGTTTCATCACAGCCTCAGGGAGGGAGTGGCAGTGGGTCTCTTGGTTCAGACTACCTCGAGCAAGCCGACAGACTGCTAGCCATACACTTTTGTGCTCATCAGAGCATTATAGGGCCTCTTTGGCTTTTCCTAGGCAAGTGTTGCTTCCTAGAGGGATGGAACATCCCTGTCCGTCTATGCCAGGGGTATCCAAACTTTTAAGCCAAGGGCCCTCAGCCTGTTGGGGAACCAGACTATGGTTTGAAAAAAACATGAACACATTTCTATGCACACTACATATGTCGTATTTTTAGTGCAACCCCCCCCCCCCAAACAAACATGAAAGAACAAAACAATATATAAAACAAAGAACAATTTTAACCAACATATAGCAGTCTTTCAATGGGAAGTGTGGGCCTGCTTTTGACTGATGAGAGAGTCAAGTTAATTAGAATTGTTGTTGTGTGCCTTCAAGTTGTTTCAGACAGTGGCGTATGCTGCCTCGGAGTCTGGTGGACTCTCTTTCTCTGGAGGTTTTTCAGCAAAGGTGGAATGGCTATATGTCAAGAGAGCTTTCATTGTGCGGGGGGTGGGGTGGGGGAGAGCTTATATTTGCCTCCTGGCTCTCCCCTTTTCTTCCCAAGGGAGGAACCTCAGCAAAGGGCAGCCTTTTTGGAAAACATGAGAGGCAACATGGGGATGAAGGCGGGGCGGAGGAAGAAAGGAGGGAGTGAGGGAAGCCGGACAGGTGCTCATCCTGCAGAGTCCGCCCATCCTGGCCATGTAGCAGGAGTAAGTGGCAGCAGTGGCGAGTGTCTGGGGCAAGCAGGATAATTGGAGAGCCTTCCTTTGCAAAGAAATAAAGAAAAGGTTGTGGGGGAGGAGAGAAAGAAAGACAAGGAGCCACTGGGATGGGATGCATGAGGCCGGAGCCACCCGAGGAGAAGGCAGTGCTTAATCAGGGTGAAGGGATGCAAGAGGCCGCCATCTCTCTTTCTCTCCTCCTAATGAGCCCGCCTTTCCCAGGGCCCTGATCCCCAAGAAAGAAGGAACGAAGAGAGGAAGGAAGTCAAAGAAGGGAGGGAGGAAGGAAGGAAAGAAGCAAGGAAGGGAGGCCTGAAGAGAGAGAGCCGATGGAAATTTGAACAGGGGCCACATTTGGCCCCCGAGACAGACTTTGGACATGCTTGGTCTATGCAATAGGTCCTTCAACCTCTTGTATTTTTTGGGCTGCCTCTTTTCCATTCTTTGCTTAGAATCATAATTTAAACAGACCCCAAGAGCCATCCAGTCCAAATCTCTGCCATACAGGAACAAACTAAGTACTCCCAACAGATGGCCATCCTGCTTCTGCTTAGAAACCTCCTGAGAAGGAGACACCACCACATTTCAAGGCAGCAGCATATTCTACTGCCAAACAGCTTTTACAGTCAGGAAGTTCTTCTTAATGTTTAGGCAGAATCTCTTTTTCTGCAATTTAAATCCATTGCTCTGTTGTGTCTTAGTCTCTAAAACAGTAGAAAACAAGTTTGCCCCCTCCTCAGTGACAGCCTTTCAAATATTTAAACGTATTTATCATGTCCCATTCTCTCAGCCTTTATTCCTCCAAGCTAAACATACCCAACTCCCTCAGCTGCTCCTCATAGGGCTTGGCCTCCAGATCTTTCCATACCTCTGAATTGTGGTGCCCAGAACTGGACACAGTATTCCAGGTGAGGTCTGACCAGAAGAATCCATGCCACAGTGAAAAGTGGCATGAAATCATTTCCTGGAAATCATAACAGCCTTTTTCAAGTATACAAATATTTGCTATAAGGAAAACTAAATAAAGCTTACATGAAGTTGTTATAGTGAGTACATAGGCATGTATCATAGGACAGCTGTCCTGGTCCTAAAGTGCATGATGGTTCACTATGCTCTGGATCAGAGTTTCTAAAGATTTTAACCTTACTTGCATTAAAATGTGTTCTTAAAAGGCACAACTTACACGAGGAAAGAAATAGCTATTTTTAAATTGTAGAAATGTACAGGTTTGTAGCCATCAAAGGTCTTACCCAGAGACCATCAACATATCATCCGTTTCAGGCTTTGTGCAAACCTGTACGTTTGACCAGTATCCCAAGTGTCTCTTACTGGTTTTCCATTCATCATGACAAAACTTAATAATAAAAATTCAAACAATTGTAAATGATCCATCAGAATAAATAAATGCTATCTTGGACAATTTATTTCAGCTATTAGACCCTGAAAATGAGAATTGTATCTTAATCATAGACATATTGTTACCCAGCAACACATTCTATAAAAATAATGAGACTCACTTCCAAAGACATATTTTTACTTTTTGCATCAGTAATAGATGCCTGACTGCATGGATAATTCATCCCATTCTTACTGCAAAGCAGTGTTTGAGACTATTGCTGGAGGATCAACAGTCCATTTTAGTAATGTATGAAGTGGCTTCTTGGGTACTTTTTAAGGCTCCCAGGAATTTTTCCATGAAAAGAAGCATAGTAATATAAAGAACTAGAAATAAGAACCTGTATGCTGTTCACAACAATCTTGTGTCAGGCAAACCTTTTTGCAGATAGAGTTTGCAAATCAATAGAAGTGAGAGGACAAGGGATTTTATGTATGTACACTTTGAAATTTCAATGAATTGGGAGTTATTCATTAGAACCATATATAAACTGTCAATATTTTTCATCGTATATATGATATGAAATATTATGATAAATAAACTAACATAAAATAAATGTCCATTAGCGTACCTGATACAGGAAGCTCTTCTGCCCCAACCCTCAACCATTGTATATCTTTTTTCTAGAATACCTTGTATATACGGGAATACTCTTGTGTCGTCTTGAGTATGATTGTAGAAAGGCAGTATAGAAAAGCCTTTTGTCAAGAAAGTAGAAAATTGTGGCCTGGACTTGTAAGATCAAAAATGGGAAGAAAGCAGTACTTGCTATGACTCTCACTCTCACTTCCTATGTTTCTTCACTCACTTACAGGATAACTCAAATCTGTACATGGTAATGGAATATATCCCAGGCGGTGAGATGTTCTCCCACCTACGGCGGATTGGCAGGTTCAGGTGAGTGTGCTCTCTCATCACTGGGAGAGGGCGTATGTCTCTCCTCATAGGAACAGAGGAACTGGCTGCTGGATTTCCTGGTTTAGTTTCACAGGTTAATACAGTGGGAAGGGCCTGGAGTGCAAGGTATGTTTTTTAAATCCTGTAGTTAAGGCCAAACTGGTAAAACTTTCCAGTTTTCCAGTACAAGCCCTCCTGTATACGATAGTTGCTTCAGAGGCTCTGCAGTGCGTCCCATCACCAAGAGAGAAGTGGCTGGTGAGAACACAGGATGGAACATCCTCTGAAGTAGCACACAGATTGTAGCACTCTCTTCTTCCATACAGCTATAGGCAGGTTGTTAAAACATTTTGCTTCCACTTGGTTTTTGAGTTATTTAAAAGGTGTCTGCCCTGTTGCCTCTTAAGATTGTTTTATTCCTGCTCTTGATGGTATTATGTTTGTTTTAATGTTTATAAGTGGTTTTAAAGTTTTAAGATGGAATTCAAAAGGACGTCTAGAAATAAATTTTGAAAATAAACACTAACTATCTTGCACCTAAATATGAATGTGAAGGAGTGTCATAACACATTATTGCTTTAAATGAGGAATTGTGGTGATGTGGGTCTTTGTTGCATCTTCTTAACAGTGCCAGGCCCATAGGAGAGCAGTGCTTTTCATTAAGGGGTTGATGGCTGGGAGTGACACTGAATACAAATGAGAGAGTATCAGGCTGAGGAAAGGGGGGCTGTAGGTATTATTCTCTATTGTCTTTTGTAAGACACTTAACAAGTAACACAGAGAGTGTAATATAAAAGCTTGCTTTTACTTCTGCATCTCCAATCTGGTGCCTTTCAGATAATTTGGGCTATCATCCCTGTCAACTGTGGCAATTACCCATAATATTTGAGGCTCATGGCAGTTACAATTTGAATCACATGGATGGCACCAAATTGGAGAATCCTGTTCTGTTTTTTTTGTTTTGTTTTGTTTTTGTTTTTTGATGGAAGACCATATTGGACATGGTGGGGAAGGCATATCCTGTTCAATGGTATTGCAGGATGGGGAAGTGTGCAGGCAAATTGATGCTTACATTTTGATCCTCTGGATCAGTGTTTCTTAACCTTCCTAATGCCACAATCCCTTAAGACAGTTCCTCATGTTGTGGTTACCCCCAACCATAAAATTATTTTTGTTGCTACTTCATAACTGTAATTTTGCTACTGTTATGAATCTTAATGTAAATATCTGAATTACAGGATGTATTTTCATTCACTGGACCAAATTTGGCACAAATACCCGATACGCCCAAATTTGAATACTGGTGGAGTTGGGGAGGATTGATATTGTCATTTGGGAGTTGTAGTTGCTGGGATTTATAGTTCACTTACAATCAAAGAGCATTCTGAACACCACCAACGATAGAATTGAACCAATCTTGGCACACAGAACTCCCATGATCAACAGAAACTACTGGAAGGGTTTGGTGGGCATTGACTTTGAGTTTTGGAGTTGTAGTTCACCTACATCCAGAGAGCAGGTGGAGGGCTTTTGGTGGGAGGATTTGCCGTCCGTTTCTAAAAAGGAAGAGAAGGATAGGCGGAGTGATCTTCAGCTTTTTCTACCAAGAGGATTCCTAAGACCATCAGAAATGTGTATGGTCTTTGGCTACCCCTCTGAATCCCCCTTGTGACCCCCAGGTTGGGAAATGCTGCTCTAGATGCTAGGAACTTTCAACCTGCAGAAGCCCCAGCCAATACAAACCCATATGGGCAGGGATTATCAGAAGTGAAGTCTACAAAATCTGGGAGACTCAAGGTTCATCTTACATTGGTGAGAATTGGTTTGTGAATTGGTTTGGTTTGTGAAACTGCTTCTTTCCTTTCCCTCCCCCAACCCATTTTTGCAGTGAACCTCATGCCCGGTTCTATGCTGCTCAGATTGTGCTGACCTTTGAGTACCTGCACTCACTAGATCTCATCTACCGAGACTTGAAGCCCGAGAACCTCCTCATTGACCAGCAGGGCTACATTGAGGTAAGGTGGCTCCCATCCACCCCGTGAGTCCTCTCATCCTCTGTCATGGACATTTCTGCCCTTTTCAGTATGTCTGGGCATGTAGTTCCTATGAGCATTTGAAGCAATTAACACTTTAAGACATGATGAGTTTTTCCAAATATAAGTCATTTCTTATGAATATGATACAATTGCCCAAAAAAGGAGGAGGATGGGAGGATCAGATCATCCTGTTATTTGGGTTTAGGGGAAATGTGACACTTCAGCCTAGAACCACACACAAAGCCCTACTTACTTGGTTTACCAAAACGCTCCAAATTACCAGATGTTATGTTTTCCCTATCCCTGGCAAATATGTCTATTTTGGATATGTTACACAATTGATTCCCTTTTCTGCATTTCCCAACTTAAACATCTCCTCTTCACATGTTTCTACTTCTGTTTTCCAAACAAACTGTGCTTTTTGTTTCTCTTATCCTCAGGTAACAGATTTTGGCTTTGCCAAACGAGTGAAAGGCCGAACATGGACCCTTTGTGGAACACCAGAATATCTGGCTCCTGAAATCATTCTGAGCAAGGCGAGTTACCTGTCTCCAGCAATAATGCATGATAGCAGGGATCTCCTAATTCTTCTTATAGTTTCCAGTGATGTGCTACTCATCCTTGGTGTTTGTGATCTGAGCCTGCTTTCCTATTGCAGGGTTATAACAAAGCTGTAGACTGGTGGGCCTTGGGAGTCCTCATCTACGAGATGGCAGCTGGATACCCTCCATTTTTTGCAGACCAGCCCATTCAGATCTATGAGAAAATTGTCTCTGGAAAGGTAACATTTCAGTGGAGAGGCTTGTGTGGATGTGATAGCAGTGGGTTTATAAGATGGTGGCTATCTCGTACATGGCAGAAACGATAGTCTTTGCCATAAGGCCACATCGGGAACTGCCAATATGTTTCTCTATTAATGTTGTTGCAAAGCATAAACATACCTGGTATTCAGTGATGCATGAGCATGCCCTTTACCTGCCAGGAGAATGGTGGACTGAGTGCAGTTCAAGACACTATCAATGAGACAGTGCTTTTCCTTATTATATTTCCCAGTTGTGTCTCTGGCAGTACTCAAAGCTCCCCACCCTCAAGTTAACAAAAGAACTGGTAATCTACATGGGTATTTTATATGTAGTACCTGGCTTTCTTTAGTGGAGAAGAATTATGCTGACTAGGTTATGGAGACTCAAATTCCATTATATTTTAAATACGCTTTAGAATTCTAGTCTGCATTGTGGTGAATAAATAATCTGAGAAGAAATTCTACTCAGTTGAATGCGGTTTTCTGAGGACAGAATTTTAACATGGATAGTTTAAAATGCTGGGCCAGTGTCTGTTATATTTTGTAATATGATGCCTCCCAGTTAAGACTGGGGAGCATCATATGATGTAGGAATAGTGCTGGGTCTTAAAATGATAATCACAATTTGGTGTAGTAATAACAACAACAACAACAACAACAACAACTCTGGAATTTGAGAATTCAGACTGACAGAGTTTTGGAGCACAATACTTCTGACCTTGCAATAATGGGGAAAAAACAAAGTATGGATCATTGATGTTGCAATCCCAGGTGACAGCAGAATTGATGAGAAGCAACTGGAAAAGCTCACACAATATGAGGATTTAAAGATAGAACTGCAAAGACTCTGGCACAAGCCAGTCAAGGTGGTCCCAGTTGTGATCGGCACACTTGGCTTGCATTTAAAAATAATATGCGCTGACAAAATTACCATCTGTCAGCTGCAAAAGGCCACCCTACTTGGATCTGCACACATTATTTGCTGATATATCACAGAGTTCTAGGTGCTTGGGAAGTATCTGACATGTGATCAAATACAAAAGTGTACTAATCTTCTTGTGTATCAAATAATGATAATCATCATCATTTCATTTCTTACCTACCTCTCCTCATGGCTCGAGGCGGGTTACAGAACAATTAAAACACATAAACGCTGCAAAAAATCACAAATATACATATTAAAATGTACCTCTATAAAAGCTACCCACCAAAACATATCTCTTTAAATGCATATTAAAATACACAAAACTAGGAAAGGGGGAAAGAAAATGCGTAAAGATGCTTGGGAAATGACCTTTTATTCGTGATAAAGGCCAATACATTTCACCCTGTGGAAACACTTAAAGCCTTCTTCAGAAGATCATGTAAAATCAAATCTGCAAATATTTCTGAGACTGAAAAATCCAGCTGTTCTGATTTTATATAGCCTGCTGAAGAAGGCCTCAGGTGAGGCTGAAACATTATTTGGCTAATAAAGACTGGCATCTGGATGTTTGTCTCTTTTTCTCTTGTGGGCTTCATTCCCCTAGTTTTGTTCTTTTTCTTAAAATGATCATCAGACCATGTAAGGTGCTCTGCTGAGGGTTAAAAGTTAACCCAAGGAAAAGGGGAGGTACCCAATTCACCCCGCTGTAATTGTAAAACTGTGAATGTTGAGTAATCTTGCTCCCTTCATTTATAATATATCCTAAAAGCTTGGGTTGGGGAAAGGATGACCAAGGAGGGGTTCTCCAAATCCTTTCCCACAATGCCTTTATAGAGTGCTGTAATTCCACTTTAAACTACCATGGCTTCATTCTGCATAATCCTGAGAGTTCTGGTTTGCCAAATATACTTTCCATTTTTGGAGAAAAAGCAGGATATAAAGTATAAATCATAACCACCCCCACCTTCTCCAAATCCCAGGATTTCATAGGATGGAGCCATGGCAGTTAATGTGGAATCATGGTTACAGGTAATTATTGTTCAGTGGGAAAGACCCCAGCAAGAATGTTAACAACCTAGAAAGATCTAGATGTTTGGTGGCCACCTGAATCACCAGTCCCCAAAAACAACAACAAGAGGGGGCGGGGGAACTAATGCAGGAATCAAAGATGGTGCGGGCATGCTGCCCTTATCCTTTTAGGAGATAATCTTTATCATCAGATAGGGGTATGCAGATCCAGACTTTCAGCTGTCTTAAGCTGGGACTTGCCAGGTTTCTCAAAATATGCATACCCTCTTTATTTCCCCCCAACTACTTCCTGCTCCAGCCATTTTCTTAAAAAATATGAAAGAGTCCCATGTATACACACCTTGGTTTCTCATGTAACTTCCGCCAGAGTTTTAGGGCAGGAGCAACACTGGTCCAAACTGCTCAACAGTTCATCAGAATTTAGTCATGCCTTTATTGTGGAATAACTGTGTTGTGGTAATCTTCTGTTGTGTTTTGTGTGCCACTTTCTGTAATACTAATAACTGCCATGGTTCACTTCTAAACTGAAATTTCTGCAGGTATATTATGGATCCTGCAATGTCCTTCAGCAAAGGCTTTGTCCTAAATGGTTGAAGTAGTTGTAATTTTTCTTGAGAGTAAGGTCATCATAGTTGGACCTGTGATGTTTTATGTTTGATTTCTGCATCATAATAGCTCTATTAAGCCAATTAATTAAGTGGTACAGGTGTAGTGGTTAAGCAGCCTTTCCAACCTGGTGCTGTCGTGTTGTACTGAACTGCAAGCCCTCATCCCAAGTCTGTAGCCTGCCCAGCTAAGGTATTCTGGGCATTACAGTTTTAACCCTTCTGGGGTGCACCAAAATGGGGAAACCTGATTGGTGTACTGGAGCAGGGATAGAAATCTAGATTAAAATTCTTACACAGCTGTGAAGCTAACTGGGTGACCTTGGTCCAATCACACTGTCCTGGCCTGACCTACTTCACAGTGTTGCTATAAAAACAAAATGGAAGGAGCCCCTTACATTATCCTGAACACTTTGGCAGAAAGGTAGGATATCTATATCATTATTTTAAATAAATAATAGAGCATCATACTGAAAATTAATTGTATAGCTGAGTCAGTTCTGCTGTTCAAAGGGAAAGTAAAGTACTTTTAACTCTAGGCTTTGGCTCCCAGTTTAGGAAAACAGACCAAGAAATAATAACTGAGGATTACAGATGAGGCCGTCATGATTGCAGCCCAGCCAAATGCAATGAATAATAATTCTAGCTATTGGAAGAGGTTGGGTCTTCCTTTAAGGGAAAATTGCAAGCCCTGTTCTAAAATAAAATAAAATAAAATGTGAAATCAAATTATTATTAACAGGACACATTAGACAGGCGCCCTCCCTCTTGTCCTTTCGAAAAAGCCTTAAGACCTGGCTGTTCGAGAGGGCATTTAATTAAGTGCTAGTAACAACATTACGGTAATGAGAATTGGAATGGTATAAGGATGACGAGACTGGCCTATGATTCTACTAAGAGACGAAGCGGATTTTTATGTAGTCTGTATTTGTTGTATAGCTATGTGTTGTGGATTCTGGCTTTTGTAACTTGTCTTTTATGTGTACTGTACACCGCCATGAGTCGCCCGTAAGGGCTGAGAATGGCGGTTAATAAGTGCATCAAATAAATAAATAATAAATAAATTATTATTTTTGCAAGATTGACTGGCATGAGATTCAAAACTGCCATGGAGTTCTATTGCATTCACAACCAAACAGGACACTTAAGACTTTCACCAAAATCCACTCTTGGTTACCCCAAATTTTCTGTTTCAGCAGAAATAATTAAAGGTGATAGTGGTGAAAGCCACCTTCTTTCTTGTTTAAAATAACCTGGAGTCAACAGTCCTTGCAGGTCTACTGCAGATCACCCAAACATCTACTTTTGGGTCACAGTTTATGTTGTGACTAGGCCTGAAGTAGAGCTAAATACAGAATAGCCGCTATGAGACTTTCTGGGTATATTGGTAAGTTACAATATTTTAAAACAGACTTTGGAGAGGGAGGAAGTTTGAAAGGTTAAAGGAAGTCCTCTTTTTGCTGCTACTGTATCAAGACTGTGCTAAAAGCCATCTGTAGTTCTATTTAAGTCCATGAGAGCTAGACATTGTTGCAGAAACAGCATCTTGAATTCCTGAAAATGTGCAAGATGCTCTAGGTCCAAAGCTTGTGACAAACTTTTCCGTTTCAAGCATGCAGTGAATATTAATCTTTCACTATAGAACATGACAAACCTGCTGTCCTTTCCTTTAACTGTGATTGTAAGACTTCCCAAGAAGACAAAATGATTAACCGGTTGTTGACTTTGTATCCAGGTTCGCTTCCCCTCTCACTTCAGCTCAGACCTGAAGGATCTGTTGCGTAACTTGCTCCAGGTAGACCTCACCAAACGCTTTGGCAACCTCAAAAATGGAGTTAATGACATCAAGAACCACAAGTGGTTTGTTACCACTGATTGGATTGCCATCTACCAACGGAAGGTGAGCCGTAGGGCCAAAGCACAGGGCCCCATTATAGTACCTTGCAGGCATCCACCCGTATCAGAGAATTAATACCATCTGCATCCAGATGGCCAAAGAAGTTCCTTTTGAACCATAAAGTATATAATTAATACCATCTGGATCCAGATGGCCAAAGAAGTTCCTTTTGAGCCATAAAGTATATGGCAACATAAATGCTTGTTTTGAATTTCTCAAAAGATGGTGTAAACATTACCTCGTTCATCTTCCACAACTTCACTAGGCCTACAGAAGAATGTACTAGCAATGTTTAACCTTGTAGGACTCAGGCCTCTTCTACACTGCCAAGCTGAGTAGTTGTTGCTAGACCTATCATTCATGAAGTAGATTGAAAACTTCACTTTTTCTCCTGGATCCGTTAAGGATACTAAGGTAGTGTTTTATGACCTATAGTTCAAGGCAGACAGCTGGACTGCAACTCCTCAACCTTTTCCCATGTAACTGATGGAAAGGAATAATAGGAATTTAACTCCAGCATGATCTGGTGGGTCGGGCTTCCCCTGTGTCTGCTATGATCCATCTGAAGGCACCTTTGGAGATGGAGACTGTAGAGATTTGGGTTAGTTGTAGACTGGACGTCTATGCAAGAATTGGATTCATCTCTGCTTTGGAAGCAGGTGTGCTGACTCCTAGTAGTAGTTAGTAGAAGTTAGCAGAAGAGAGGTGTCCACAGTTCCACTGCTGAACAACTCCCACAGTTAGGAAGAACTGTGGAACAGTAGTGGAACTCTCTTCCCCAGATTGTGGTGGAGGCTCCTTCTTTGGAGGCTTTTAAACAGAGGCTGGATAGCCATTTGTCAGGAGTGCGTTGAATGTGATTTTCCTTCTTGCCAGGGGGTTGGACTGAATGGCCACAAGGTCTCTTCTAACTCAATGATTATATGATTCTGTGATTCCAATCTCCTTTCCAGACTTTTCTGAAGTCCCCTCTTTATAAACAGATAGATAAGCATGTGTCTTACAAAGAGACACACAGCTCCTTCAGGCTTCTTCAGTGGGTCCAGCTGAATTTGAGATATGCCACTGGGCCTCCTGGCTATTGAAGTGGTTCTCACTTGCCATAGAGTGGTACAGCCCCTTCCATGGCTGAGCGTAAATCCCTGTGTTTTCCAGCTCATCTGTTTTTAAAGGTTTGTTTTCGGTTTGCTGAAGCTCAGATTGGGCTTCTTGTATAATAAATGCCCCAAGACGATGGCCCACGATAAGCTGTTCCTTTGTTCCCTCTGCTTTCCAGGTGGAAGCCCCCTTTATACCAAAGTGCAAAGGCCCTGGCGATACAAGTAACTTTGACGACTATGAGGAAGAGGAGATCCGAGTGTCCATCACGGAGAAGTGCGCCAAGGAGTTTGCAGAATTTTAGGGCCAGCCCCCTCCCCCTTGCTTTGTGTGCCCAGGGAAAGGAAGGGCTGGATTTGATCAGCCCAAGGGCCAGAGTTCCTTGCCTATATGTTAATTTTGGGAGGTGGGAGAGTGTTGGGGTTCACCAGGATCTGTTTGGGAAGAAGAAAGAAAAAGGGGAGTTAATTTTGAAGCTGTAGAAAAGGGAGGAGTCTCAAAGGGGCCCTCCATCCGCCTCCCACCGCAAGCTGCAAGGTGGTTCCCAGGCACTCTCAGGCAGGTTTTAAACAAATTCCCTTCTTCCTCACACTGACTCCAACCCATACACAAACCCAAATCAAACAATCCCTGGTTTATTGATGGCTTTCCCCCCTCCTTTTCTTTTCTTTTCTTTTTTTGAGGGGAAAGGGGGTATTTTGCAATTCATCCTCACCTATAAGGTTTGGTTCATGGGGCATTGCAAAAAAATAATAATAATTCTAGAGGGGGGAGGGCAAGAAGTAAACACATCCAGATGGCACTTTGGTGTTCAGACCAGCACTGCATGGGTTAATGGCCCAGCCTTCTCCCCTCGCCCTGTAGGACAAGCCTGTCCTTTTATCAATGTTTTTCCCTAGGCTCCTTTTATTAACTTTAAAGAAAAGTTTAAAGAAATAGTTGGCTGGCTTTAAAAAATGGTTTTAACAGTCTTGGTGGGACAGTGCTTTCATATGTTCTGTTTCTGGAACACTTAAAATAAAATTCAGCAGGAATTTTAACTCTGTAAAAAACAGCTGGGTTTTAGCGTAAAGAATTTGGTTTGGGGGGAGGGATAGAAAAGGCAATTATTTCCCATCTTAGTCCTCTGGTCTGTGGGAAGGAGGGAGGGCATAATACTCATACCTTTAAGGGGGGGGAGGGGGGAGTGATTGGTTGATAGCTGGTGCAGGAGTATTAAGAGAGGGACCCTGACTGGTTTGTCTTTCTTAAATGTGCACACACCCCTTCTCTCTCCCATCCCCTCTCCACATCCAAAATGCCTCTGAAGAACAGCTCCACTGCCCTGTAAGAGTGGAGGAGAAACAAGCCAGCTCTCGTCTGCTCTTGGAAACATCTGTATCTAACTAGCGGTGCCTCAGACAGGCTTACCCCTCTTGGTAGCAGCTGGGATGGGCAAAATACAGTCGTGCACAGTCTTTCCCAGCCTATTTCAAACCTTGCCCCCATGCTCATGATATCGGGATCTTTCCAGTCCTGTGACAGAAACTCCATCACTCTAGTCCTCAAGGGCTACATCCACTTGCCGTGTGCTTATGCTCTACTGACAGGGTGTGGATGGAAGGCCTAGTCCTACTGAAAATGGGCAGAGAGGTGTTGAGAAGATCTATCAATTCGCGCTAGCTGATACCAGTGCTAACAAGGGAGGTGCCCTGTTCTGACTTGGCATGAGAAGTGGCGTCCACTGTGGAATAGTTTTCTCAGAGAGATCTGGATGCCAAGGTAGCTGTGGCTCAAAGGGTGTGGAGGGAGGGCGCCTTGTGTTTCTCCCTGAATTTGTTCTGACTCTTTCCCTCCCCTTTCCAATGCAATGCCTCTTTGTGTTCTGTCTTCACCTACCCCACTCCAAACACTTTCTATACTCACCACCAGTTTAGTTTCTTCTGTTCTCTTTCCGTGGCTGAGGAGCAAAGCAGGCTTCTCTTAGATTGGTAGATGAATTATATAACATGTACAGAAGCGCTGTGAGGAGTAGACAGGCTTCGCTTGCCTCTCCAACTCCTTTTCCCACCAAGAAGTTCATCCGCCCCCCACTCTGGGTTGGGTTGGGGAGAAGGGGAGCTGAGTCGCCACCCGCTCCCTGCCTCGGAAAAGAAAACACACTTCTATGTAATCCAACAAAACTTGTTTCACAGAGGAAAACAACAGCGACAACAAACCCTACTTCCTCTTTAACAGTGTGCTTTGTTGTAAACATATTTGAAACTATTACCAATAAAGTTTTGTTTAAAAAAACACAGTTCAAAATTGTTCTTGTAAAAGGGAGCAAGGGTGGTTGAAAGAAGAAACAGGGAGGGCCTGAGCTGAACTTCACAACCAATCTAAACAATTAAATAGAGTAGTTTAATTAACTGTGGGTGCCCAAATGTTTTGGCCTTCAACTCCCAGAAATTCTAACAGCTGGTAAACTGACTGGGATTTCTGGGAGTTGTAGGCCAAAACACCTGGGGAACCACAAATTGAGAACCACTGAAATAGAGGGAAAGCAGTCAGGATGCTAAAAAAAAAAGATAGCTCTGGGTGACCTGTTAATCTTCCAGGTATCCCAAAATACTATTGAATTCAGCACTGACACAACCTACTGCAAAGTAGGATTTTTCACAACATTTCTGAATTGATTAATGTGGCTGAAGGTGTGGGTTGGTTGAGTTGGAATGCTGTTGTGATCTGCTTGAGCCATATTAGTAAAAATGTATTGTTTTGAAAGTACTGATCAGTATTTCTATGCCAGTATTAGGGACTGAGACTGTTCAGTTCTGTTTTTCTCTTGAGCACTTCTGCCATTTTGGAGAAGATGAAAAGGCAGAGTAATCAACTGGCCAGATTCACTAGGCCTGTGCCTTCATACTTCTGTACTAAAGTATGTTGTCTTTAGAAAATGCACACTCTGCTCATTATAAAAAAAAGACACAATGTTATCTGTATTGGAAATACGTCCCATCATGTGTGTCCAGTTACATAATTAATTACTCTGGTGTTTGTTCAGTTTCTCTCAGTGCAAAATTAATCTGCTCAATGTCGTGAAGGGTTGGGCAGGCAAAACAGAAATCACAAGCACAAAATATGTTCTGAATGTTAAGAACTCAGCCAAGATTTTTAAAAATTTCTAAACAATAATAACAATAACAGTAGTAAGATCAGTAGTGAACTCCTTAACTACCAAATGTACAACACCAGCAGAGCATTGCACAGTTTCCATTTGGATTTCAAATTCTTCTCTTCCATTCATAGCTGAAATAAGATTGCCTAGCTTGTCGGAATAGTTGACTCAAACCTAACTTTGCTATTGACTCAAGAGTGTAGTTTTTTTATCGCTTGCCTAGGAAAAGGTGGATTCTCTTTCTCCCCTAGACTACTAAGATTTGTGATACACTAGCACAAGTTATTGGCATTATGTTCTAGACAATTTTATTATGTTGCTGCAGACTTCTTTCTTACAATGGATATATGTGCCTAGTTTTACTGCCTCTGACTTGGGAGATCTCCAAGTTCAAACAAAGCAATGGAATAAAGGTAGAGTGGAAAGCGAGAAAGGAACCACCTCTTTGAGAGCCAACAGCCGTTCTGTGTATATCAAGGACTCCACAGCTACGTCATGCTATCTCTACTTTTGAATTACCCTTGTTGCTTATCCAGTTCACTGAAATGTAGGACTTCTCAGGAGAGTTGCTTAGAGGATCTTTTTTGACACTTTCCTTTTCTGGCCTAAAGTAGAAAACTTGATTGTTTTTCCCAAAATCACTCAAGATCGTTTGATAAAAACGTGTCATTTTGCCTCTTGGTAAATGCTCTTATATTGTTTCAAAAGCATGAATGCTGTTTTGACCAGAGATGGAAATAGTGTATATATACCATGGCTTGAATCAAAACGTAAGTAACTCCCATCACTTTTTAAAAAATCTATTCTAGTGGGATAAACATTTGGATTTTGTTTATATATTTCCCTTCAAGTTACTTATCGACTTGTGAACCTCTCAGGATTTTTTGGGACACACAGAGGTCGTTTGCCATTGTCTTCTGCTGAAACAGATCCAACAGCCCCTGGTGCTCTCTGACAGTTCTCCATCCAATAACTATCTTGGGCGCGCCCTCTTCCAAGATCAGGCAGGGTCTGTTGTTCTCGGGGCATTTAGATCTAGAATTAGATTTTAGGCTTGTGTTATATGAATGGACACTTCTCCTAACCACTTGCCTCTTAACACATATCTTTGTCCTCTCTAAATTGTTCTCTAAACCCTGCTATTAAGATAGTTAGTGGGGGCTTAATTGGCATGGATGTGGGAGTAAAGTTGGAAAGTTGCCATCCTTGGCCCTGTTTGTTATAATAGGACCCAACATGGTGGCTCATAAGGAAACATTTTTAAAGGTTGCCATTATTGAGAGACAAAATGGGAAAGCAGGTATGTTGAAGTTGTAATCCAAACATAGCCAAATAATTCTTGTATGCTTTCAGTTTGACAATGCATATTAATTGATAGGCCCTTCTAACAATAATACTATATAGACAAAATAAACTAGAAAAAGTCAAGCACAGAAGGCGCCGATTGGCTTTTGAACCTTACAGACATACTCTGATGGGAACAATGTCCAAGCTACAATAATGTCATAATAACTAGGTTCTTGTGGGTTTTTTCGGGCTATAGAGCCATGTTCTAGAGGCATTCCTCCCTCCTCTAGAACATGGCTCTATAGCCCGAAAAAACCCACAAGAACCTAGTGATTCCAGCCATGAAAGCCTTCGACAATACAATGTCATAATAATTTATATATCTTTGAAAATTTAAATGAAGTTAAAAGATAGAAGGAAACGTCTTATATATAGTATGATAAATGGGACAAGACATAATGATGCACTAATCTGAGGTGAAAAACAGTTTTAAATTTTATTATTTATTTTTAAACATACTATTTTAGTTTTTGTAGGTGGGAGGAATGTAGGGATTTGTTAATATGTAATTTTAGGAAAAATATATAAGGATTAAAATGTTTATAGGGAAAGTGACATACAGTAGAGTCTCACTTATCCAACGTAAACGGGCCAGCAAAATGTTGGATAAGAGAAAATATTGGCTAATAAGGAGGGATTAAGGAAAAGCCTACTAAACATCAAGTTATGTTATGATTTTACAAATTAATCACCAAAACATCATATTTTACAACAAATCGACAAAAGGCAGTTCAATACACGATAATGTTATGTAGTAATTACTGTATTTAGGAATTTAGCACCAAAACATCGCAATGTATTGAAACAGCTGTGGATTCAGGCAGGAGGCAGGCTGCGTTGGATAATACAGAACGTTGGATGAGCAAAGGTTGGATAAGCGAGGCTCTACAGTATATCACAATGTGTAAAATGGAACACCTATACTTAAAATTATTTTTTAAAGCTGGATCAGCATGTTGTAGCAAGATTTAA